TTTCGCGAACCAGCGTTAAACAGTCAGTTCCAGATCCACCGATCACAAATTGATTATATGCTCAAGTGACTAGGTTGTTAGTCTGACACTTGAGAGGGCTAAGGTGTCATTTAGACTCTTAGACAGTTGTGGTTAGTGACCGACAGGTAGCCCGTGCATTTGTAATTTGTTGAGATTAGTGGATTAAGTCATTGTTGAAGGCAAAATCACTTTGGCGAGTGGACAAGAGTAGCCTTATTGAAGGTGAGCTTGTATAAACCAAAAGAGTCATTTTATTATTTCCTTAACTTTATTATTTCTAGTTAGTTGTAAAATATTTTTAGAGAAAAAGTTTATTAGAAAACTCAATTCAAACTCCCTTTCTTGTGTTTTTTTCAACCTTCAATCCATTCCACAGAGAAGGTGAAAGATGTTATAAGTACAATCTCAGAAGTACAGAGAGGCCATCAACTTATGTTGGCAATAACTTGGTCCAACTTTCAACAGTTGAATCAAGTCGAAGATACCCATTTCTTTCCAGACTTGAGATTTTTTTCTTTCGACTTTGGCTAACCACTCAAGATATTGTTTACTATCTTTTGTTGGGAATGACCTAAAAGGTTTGAAGGCATCAATCATAGAGTCTAAATGGAAAGGTTTTTCTACATTTGCAGATCCTAAAGGGGATTCTTTCTGAATATTTTCTGCGGTTCTTACCTTAGGGTTTCTATTAGCTTTTTCATCTATAGTTTTGGGAGAACTAATTTTGCTAGCTATGGGTTTTGTCACGCGAAAAGTTGGAAAAACTCTTTGAATTTCTCCAGATCACCAGCATTGACCAAAGGGTTCATGTATCCTAAAATTTCATCAACAATAGTGAAAGGGATGATTACCTGGGATTCATAGATGGCGCGTTGTTCCACAGAAAGAGTAGGTGTTGGCATAAACTCTTGATTTCTAGATAAAATGGGTTTTGTTACGTGAGCAAAATGGATGGAAGAAGCATCCTTAGTGTTCTTCACGTCCTTGAGATATTTGTTGCTTTTCTTAAAAGGTGTCATTGATGAAGAAATTATGGAAGATGAATGATGCTTGAAGAAGAGGGATTGAAGAAAATTGTAAGATTTTCTGGAAAGTGAAAGCAGAAAAATGTTTACTTGAAGAAGAAGAGAGTATTTATAATGAAAAATAATAAACGGTTCACTTTCATTTTTTGTTAATTAAAAAGATAGTGGAACACGTATTGTTGGTTGATAAGCTGACAAGATGGTTATTTTTTGGAAAAATCCACGATTTAACCCTATTTAGTGTAGGAATGATGGAAGAACTGAACTGCGCACGTCTCAATAAGACGTATGGAAAGATGATCATCATGACAATGTCGTCATAGCAGTAATGGTTATAATGAAGTACCTTCTGCGTCGAAATTGAAGGTTTGCAAAAAATGTTCATTTCTTTAAGTGTTTCGAAATAAATATTTTTGGGGGACAGTTTTTTAGCTGGAAATTTCGATGACATGATAATAATAAAGTGAAATGAAGAATGTCTAAGAATGGTTAGTTCTAAAAAGAAATATGAGAATATTTCATAAATATTTTGACAGACAAAGCAATGGATAGTCGAATCTCATTAAATAGTAGCGAAAGTCTTATTTCGTAGAATACATGGGACTTGAGATATTTGAAGTCTCGAAATTGAATATTTCACCAAAGTCACGTTGTTGGTTTTGACACTTCGAAAGGATAAGATTTGAATTCAAACGGGTTGATCTTATCCAAAAAGGCGCGTGAAAGTTTGAAATTTCGAAAGACATGCAAACATCAAACGTGACATTCTTTTAGAGGAAGGTTGTTATGGTCAAATTAGTATAAATTAAAATTCTTTAAGATTTAGTGTGTTCACTTTTGTACAAATTACTCAAATAAACTCAAAGTACCAAATGTTAGAGAAACGAGTTGCTAAGAATGTACGTATAAAATACCAATTTTTTATTTCATTCAATGTTATTCATTTTTAAACAAAGTCTTTTACATTTCATTTAAAAATTAAATTGAAGTTCATTTCCATTCCAGTTCTTTATATTCAATCCTTTTTATCTTTATTTTAAACCTTTTTATCTTTACTTCTATTACAATCACTTATTTCATAAAGATTGAATACCTAAAAATATTATAAAACAATCAAAAACTAGACACATGTTCTAGGATCAGTCTAGTCAATCCTATAAGTAATTAAAATATTTTTGTTTTTGGAAAATTAGCGGTTGTTTATCAAATTTCACGTTAAACAATATGACAGACGATTGAAATAGAAAGTGAGTTTAGAGGATTATATCATTTATCACCATCAGTGACATGTGCTTTTATTAATTCTCAAAGTCTTACACATCAACGTTTGGGTTACCCTATCCTTAATGAAATGTGTCTTTTACTTCCTAGTTTTTCTAAGCTTACATCATTTGAGTGTCTGTCATACCAATTAGACAAACATACTCGTCACACCTATTGTCAACGAGTAAATAAAAGTGTCGTGTCACATGTTGCTTTAGTTCATTGTGATATTTGAGACTCTAGTCATGTCAAGTCAAGTTCAGAATATTATTATTTTACAATCTTCATCGATGATTTTTCATGATGTACTTGATTATTCCAAGAATTTTATGTCAAAATTAAAAATCAGTTTGACACTTCTATTAAAATTCTACGCACTGATAATGCTCGCGAATATATTTCATCTCAGTTTCAATCTTTTTTTAATATTATAGGAGATTATTCATCAATCATCATGTGCTCACACACCACAACAAAACGGTGTCGCTGAACAGAAGAATGATCATTTACTTGGAATTGCATGAACTCTTTTACTTCACCACAACGTCCCTTCTCGTTTTTGGGATGATGTCCTTCTCACAACTTGTCACCTTATCAACTAAATGTCTTCATTGACCCTTCAAGATCAAATTCTATACTCTATCTTGAACCTGCAATATGATCTCTACCTCATTTCTCTCTGCGTATTTGGTTGCACATTCTTTATTCATGACCTCAATCCAGATAAAAGAAAACTTTCTGCCAAATCTCTCAAATGTATTTTTTTAAGCAACTCACGTATACAAAAAGAATATCATTTTTTTTGTCTCCAACTTCAATGATACATTATTTCCTTCGATGTCACGTTCTTTAAAAACTCCCCATTTTTTATGCCTCTGTGTTACCTGATGAGAATGATACTTCACATGTTCGAGATATTCCTTCCATCATCCCCACACCTATTATAGTTCTTACACATCCATTACAGGTCTACCAGCGACAGACACCCCATCCATCAGAGGTAAGATATGATACTGATCCACTAGCAGTAGCACCATCTCCTGCTCCAATTGCTCTTCTAATTACGTCACCTGAACTTGACCTTCCAATAGTAGTGCAAAAAGGTATTTGATCTCATTATCCTAATCTCATATCTCAAATATGTTTGTGTTTTAAATTATGAATGTCCCTCTACTTCCTATGCTTCTTTTGTTTATGCTTTGGATTATGTGTCTATTTTAAAGTTTACAGGTGAAAATGACTGATTCCAATTGACATCAGACAATGGTGAAAGAAATGATTGTGTTGCATTCAAATAACACTTGAAATATTATTACTTTACCTCCAAAAAAAATTACAATGAGATGCCAGTGGATTTATACAGTGAAAATTAGACCAAATCTCTAATTGATTGTTTCAAATCCCATTTAATAGCCAAAGAATACACACAAATACTTGATCTTGATTATGATGATACTTTTCCTCCAATAGCCAAGATTAGTTCAGTCCGCCTCTTTCTTGCGATAGACGTCATTCATCAATGATCGTTTCATCAGTTTGACATTAAAAATGTCTTTTTACTCAATGAATTGGAGAATGAAGTTTATATGGACTAACCTCTGTGTTTCATTGTTCTTGACAATTCTAAACTTGTTTGTCAGCTTCGTCGTTCTTTTTATGTGTTGACACAGTCCCCACTTGTTTAATTTGATCGCTTCAGCTCTGCATTGATGCAGTTTGATATGACTAGATGTGAAGTTGATCACTCGGTTTTCTTCCTTATTCCTCTACCAGTCAACGCGTCTCTTTTAGTCTATGTTGATGACATTGTTATCACTGAAGACAATATAGAGGATATCCAGCGTCTCAAAACTCATTATTTCAAAATATTTCAGAAAAAAGACTTAAATCCACTTAGATGCTTCTTAGACATTGAAATTGCCCAATTCTCATCAGGTATTGCAATCAACTAACACAAATATACATTAGACATCCTCAGTGAAATTGATATGTTTGATTGTCGTCCTATTGATACTATTGTTATTCTCAAATAGATTACGTTTGTAACAAAGTCGACTCATATAACATATATTCCAACTTGAGGGGTGAGACTTAAAAGACTTAAGAATCAATTATATTAATACTTGTATATAGAATATCCCATGGAATATTCTTTAGCCTATCATAGAATATATTGTAGTATATTCCTTATATAATTAATACAATGTAAATCTCACTATAAATCTCACTATATAATACAATCTGCTTAGTACTATTCAAACATCCGGTTTTATTCAAATGTCTCACACTCTCACTCTTTTCAACATGTTGGTGACTAAAATAATAAAAGAACAATAGTGTATGTTTTACTCTTGCGGGATGGGCTATTTCTTGGAAGTTAAAACAATCACTTTGCTTTGCTTCAATTATTAGATTTCTCAGAATCATGATAAAAGTTGACCTTAGAAACTTGATGGTTTGAAAACCAGAGAAGATTCTCAAAAGGGAAATCTTATTAAAAAGATGAAAAGAATATTAAACTGTTACATGAGAAGAAATCTTATTCAGCCATGTATCTCAAAATACTAAACAAAATATCTTTACATATATACATACATATACATATATTTGTTTTTTAAGGCAATACATATACAAGTATATACATATATTTGTTTTTTTAGGCAATACATATACAAGTACATCATACCGACTTCACATATTCTTTATAGCTGAGTAAGCTGCCAAATGAACTTCGTAGCATTCACCATCCCATGATAAATCATGGGACATTGCTTCCATTATTCTTCGTTTCCACTTGGATGGGTTACTCCTCTACATCAAACATCAAACACAATAATTAATTATAGTGTCGGCGACTCAGTGTCATATGTTTAACACCAATGTGTGTCCGTGCTACATATGTCAATGAGTTCTCGAAAGCGTAGAGTAAAACTAATAAGAAAAAAGCAAGAGAAACCATATACATACAATTTCATCTATGGCAAGACCAAGTGACATGTTTCCAAAGGTATTGTTGATTATCTTTGAGTACTTGGTTGCCTCTTGGTCATGATTCATGAGGTTCCTCTCAAAAAGTATCACCCTACCAAATATGAATGATGCAAGTCATGTTATACAAGTATAAAAATAAATTACATACAAGTCAAAAATATTTGTATGGACTTCTACCTGTTTTTGGGAGCATCCTGGCCAACAGCTATTGGAGATGCTCCATACCTTAAAGCTTTTAGCTACATATTCAATTTATAAAAATTGTATGATTAAATTCTGATACAACAAAACAGAAACAACCATATTCTATTAAATGACGTAATGATAATATATCATAAATCATGTTGATAGCCAAACCGTTGACTTACTGGGGTTTCATCAGTAGGATCAAGAAATGATCGACACAACATAATGTCAGATCCTGCGAATAATAAATGCGATAGAGATTCATCATATTCACCCACGAATTTAATATTATCATCATCCTGCAAATTTTGATGGAATGGCAGTGTTAGTAGAGCACACAAGGCTAAATAGATATTATTAGTTGAGCTACCGATAACATAATATCATAACAATAACAAGATACCCCAAAGCTATCAGTACTCAAATGCCAAAGCTATCAATACTCGATGCCGTAATTTTGAAAAATTATGAAAATTAAGTGTTGAGGACAACCTTGAGTTCCTTCCAAAGAGATTCTAGTGCCTGATTCAAGACCGGTCTCTCACTTGTGTTCATTAATATAAACTGCAGAGAAATACTCATGAATAATAGTTTGACACAAGTACGAGTTAGATATACAAAAATGGCTTACGAGAAAACCAGGAAAAATGAAAAGCGTGTTATTCAGTATAGATTAAGATGTCACAAGATTTCTTTAACAAAGACAGTTTGGCTGAGTGATCTAAGGCGCCAGATTTAGGCTCTGTTCTGAAAGGGTGTTGGTTCTATTCTCACAGCTGTCATGTTTTATTGTTTTTTTTTTAAATACGACACTTTCATCTAGCAGTGTTGGTTCTTCAAATACTAGTATTAATTTGTTTTTCACTTTTTATATGGCTTCTATATGGCTTATAAGACAGTTAAAAGTTCATATGAACACTGCTACGTTTGGAGCTTCTCTCTTACTAAATGTAAATAGCAGTAAAGGAGGAAGTTTAATTATAAGCAATGCAACTATAAGTACTGTGTAGGGGGAAACCTGGACGTCATTTTGCTTGCCATTCAAGACGATATCCTTCATCTTTTTCACATCAATATCCGCTCCTTCTGAAAAATTGCATCCAACCTGATAAAAATATCAATAATGAACAGATAAGCTAAGTAAAAACCATGCAAAAAGTTCTCATTATATGTGGTATCCGTGATAAATGTATAAACGGAAGTATCAACAACAACCGGGTTTATTATGGGACCGCTCATGAATCATGATGTTCATATCGATCTTATTATGCACCTTTGCATCTGGTATTGAGGAGACCTCATACAATAACTGTAATAACTCTACCATATTTTTTCTTTACTTTCGTACACAAAAACAACAAATACAATACAAATTGCATGCTAAAAACATTAATTTTGCCAAATGAAGTTTCATAAAAAGAGTCAATATGAATGGTGAAGAATGCTTAACCAAAATTAAGGCTTGACCAAAAAGTCCAAAACAGAAGGTGGACCACTTACAAGAATAGTAGAAGGATGTTCAGATAACCTCAACTGCTGCAGCAATGCAACTTTGCAAACAGCTTTTCCGTTCAGATTTTCAGCATTGAAATTTTCGGGAAGAAAATAGTCCGTCGAAGGATCCCAAGTTGATTTCTCAAATCCGTATGGAGCAACGACCAACTTGTCCCTGCAACCAAATGTCATTCTCCATTTTAAATACTAAGGAAATGTCAGAGGGAAAAGGCTTTAGACTCTGTTTGGATAAACAACTTAATGAGACGTTTTAGTGTAAACATTTATCATATAAGAGCTTAATAATAGAATAAAATCAAATCAAAGTTATTTCTATAACAAATAATGAAATCAAAATGTTTTCTTATAAGCTATAAGCTATTTCATATCTATCCTGGCGTGCTTACGGAAATAACTCAAAAACAACATATAGACATGTCATAAGTTGTTTCTGTAAGTTCTCCCAAGCAGACCCTTGTAGTATAAAACCAATATATTCATTAACAAGAACATTTTCCATGTTAACAACTTAAAGTTAATGTTGAATTGCAAGAATAAAAAGATAACCATTATAAAAAAAAATAAGCAAGATATGAGAAATGGTAAAATGTTACAAAAACATACTTACCCATGAACATTTAAAGTAGGTTCCAGTTCATGACTCAAATTACGGACAATTGTGTGCTTTGGATGGATAGATGACATTATTACAACTCTGTTTGAATAGACAACTCCTCCCTGCAATAAGACATTGTGGTGAAGCAAATGGTGTTACTAAACAATTAAAAGCTGAATCATGAGGGGCAATGAAGAATACAAGAGTATGAGAACACCTTTAAAATGTTGACAAATTGTGTGTTAGTGTTGTCTTGCAGACGATCATGACGATGAAGACTTGAAGGATCAAGTCCACATAAGGCCAATTTATTTGGTTGCTCGATACCCTGTAACATATATATATAGGGCATTCATTAATTACAAGATTGGCATGATCAAATGAAATCATCAACTTTATGACAAACTTAATGTAATTTTCCAGCAATTAGAAGTGCCAAGATTGAAAAAACTCAATACAAAATGCATATCCAATATTGAAACATGTGTAACTAATAACCTGTGAATTGAAGTCGTGGCATGTCAGTAATATTCTGGTTCCTCCAAGTCCCTAAACAAAACAAATGATTGAGAACATTGCAAGCAACAATTTTTCTTTATAGATAACCAGAAACAGAAAATAAGTTCCAAGATCATTCCAAATAAAGGTGACACGGGGCCAATATAATAAGAACCTACTGATTGCATCTATGGCTTTTTATGGAAAGCGAGTAGCCAATAACATAACCTTTGAAGATGTTTTAAACTAATAACAGAAACATGAAATGAAAATTTTAATTAAGAAAGATACCTTGTTAAAAAATATATCCCAGAAAAGGGGCCCAACAATGGCAGTCTCCCAGTTATGTAGATGCAGTACATCGGGCTGCTTCCCACATTTTACAATATAGTCCAGTGAGGCGCGACAGAAGTAAGAGAACCTGATGGCAGAAGATTACGCATCAAGATTGTTGAATATTTTGTATACATAATAGAGGAATAAACATAATTTGATCAGATTTTTCTTTCCGTTCATTTACCTTTCGAAATCATCCGGGTAATCATATATCATATCACGGTTGAAAAATGATGAATAGTGCAATGGCTCGATCAAAGTGACACCAATGCCATAAACAACACTGTCATACACTAAGGGTAAGTATAAAGGAAAGCAACATCAGTCGATTTTTACATGCCGAACAACGGTAATTAAATAGGAAAACAAAGCCAAACTAACCCAGTCCAAATTTTATTTCCATGTAATTGACCATTAAAATATGAGTAAGCCTCCGCTTTAACTTCACGCAACCCTTGCACGTCATCAAGGTCTAAACATGCATACCTACATGGTAATTAGAAACTGATAAATTGAGGAATTATAAAGATCATAACAGAATCTTCTGATGCTCACACTGGTTGGCCTTTAATTGAAAGAAATAACAAAAGAAGCAAGAAAACAGATAAAAGGAAATTAAATTCTTAATTACTTGGGCAATATAACCTCCACCAGGTGGCCTTTTCTTTGAAGTGCACGAGATATGCCGGTTACATATGATGCTACAGACCCTCTAGGGACCAATGGTGTCATTTCGGTGCAAATATGAATAATATGAAAACCCCTCCTGAATTCACGACAATAATCAGATAATCAGATTTTTTTTAAATCCATCCATGAAAAAAAAAAATCGAAGAGCTGGAAAAATTAACACACCATTTAAATATGAAAATAAAATAAAATGAACTACAGGAAGGTTTACGTTTTGCTTTGATCTGAAAAGTGACGAAGTTCTCTGAGAAGCTCAGAATCTCTTTTATGTGAGACGAGGTTAAAGACATCAGCCACACTCCCTTTGTGGTTTAACACCAAACTTCTAAAGTCAGATGCCTCAGCAGGACTAATCACGCTGCCAAGGACCATTGTGTCTATTCGAAGCAGCAATTCGGAACAAGTTGATAGCTTATCTGGTTTTCAAAATACAAACAGAAACAACAGTTCAGTTAATTATCCTAGTGATGAACTGTAGTGCAGTCGCTCGAGTAGCGCGAGAGTATTTAAGCAAAAGTTGTTTTCAAGAACCCTAATAATCATTAATAAAATCAAAGCAGATGCTTTACGGTCGGAGAAGTATGCACAATTATCCAAACTCCACGATCAAATTGTGTGTCTAGTTTATCACATTTTTTGTTATCTGTGTATCCTTCGTTTTCGAAGACATATGCAATCACTTTTACCTGTACCCTCCTTCCTTCCGGCTTCTAATTTCTTTATCTTATCGAATAGGAACTGTTTTTCTTTCTTTGTTTTGTTAAGTTCCTCAATGGCACCAAGGCGTTGATTGTTTAGGTATAGTATATCTGCATAAAATTAAGAAAAATACACCCAAAATTACTAAACATTCATTCTTTCACAAAAACCACAAGCATATGAATGAGGTGAAAGAAAGCACTAACTCTGCTGAGCTTCTCTGAACAATTGCCAAATGTTATCTTGCTTCACATTCATTTCATCATCAGATAATGACTAAATTAAAAAAACAACAAGAGATTGTTAGCACCTAATAACCCGAGACCTTGAGAAAAACTCAATCTGAGTCTATCAAATTCATTTCAATTATAAAACACACAATATTTGAAACAAAATCAAACATACCTTGGACATGTCCTCATTTTTACCACCCTCTAACCTAAGTTACAAAATCATAGATTAATTGAAACTTAGCCACATGTATGAACAAGCTAATATATGTAAAATAAAACAAACAAAAAAGAAAAAAAAAGGTTTTTACCTTTGTTCATGTAAGCTATTATTGACATCTCCATTATTCCTGAAAACACATTATACAAAACAAAACAAGAAGAATAAGGTAAACTATAGTTGAATGTAAAGTGCAAGAGAGATGAAAGTGTGTGACCTGAAAGAAGAAGGAAGAGGAAGTGAAATGGGTTTAGGAAGAAAAGAAGAAGGAACTCCCAAAATTGGCATGGTTGAGTTGAACCATGCCGCCATAATAATTTTTAATTTTCTTGAACCGATTTAAGCTATGTTGTGAATATTATTATAGTGATTACTGATGATACTGCATTTGGAAATTTGTACGTACATAACACGTGTCAAAGCAAATTCAAATGTTACTAAAAGATTGGTTAAGGTGAACTTAATTCACACAAAGTTGAAGTTACTAGAAATTTTGGTGATCCATATCTTCCACCATTTTATGTGTTAATAAACCTCAATATACAAATATATTTTAATATTTTTTTATAAAAATATTATGAAGTGATAATATTTTGCATCTATATATTTGCTCGGATAATACTATTTAGACAAGGTGAAATGGGTAATTTTAAAAATTTATAGGGTCCGGAAAAAATACTAAGGATCTATGAGCAACTCTAGATATTAGGATTAGTATTTTAGGTTGGCCAGATGTCGAATAATTCATAAGTTCATCTAATTGAGATACATGTATTTTTTTATTTTTGAGCTAACACCTAAGAGCATGACCTTCTTCCTCATCTCAATGGTTGATCCGCGTCCATATATCGTTTATATTTTATGTCCGATCAATCGATAATAGTTTTAATTGTCTCTTTTATATAAGTGTAATTGTGAGTCGCACTCAAACATTCATTTACACACACTTGCATAGTTATATCTCATTTAAACATTGACTTGAGCGTTGAAGTGTTAATCTTGCAAGGATTTCTCTTTAATTATTTGATATCACAACTATTATACCGAAAGCCTCTCCACAGTGCTATACTTCAAAAAAACATCTACTTATGTTCCAATACATAATAGTAGCGATGTCCGTCTGAATCATCTTTTGATTCTCTAAAACTCTTCATCAAACTTTCTTAGTTTTCTTTGTTGCACCATTGTAATTATCTTTTTGTTACTTTCAACAATTGTAACCATTTTGTAATTACTCTTTCTGCTACCTTCTCTTAGGGATCTCAATGAGCAAAGATTAGGCATGATACTATAGTAATCATCCCTATATTTGTTGTTTGAAAAAAAAATTGTCATTGAGTTCATACCCGCGTGGACACCAATATTTATATTTGTATTCGTATTCTATAGGTACCTAAGTATCCATACTCATACTTTTTATTTGTATTCTAATAAAAAATAATTGATCAATTATAATTTATCATATCATTTTAAATTTTTTTAACAACATTAAAAAATTGAAGGATGATATTGTTGAGTTAAAAAAATAAATATTAAAATGGATATGCAAGTTTAATAGTGATGTAGTTAATAAACTTGATAAAAATTAACATGTATACATAATAATAAAAATAAAAATATATTAATAAATATGATGCGGGTATGGGGCGGGTGGGTACTAAGGTATCTGTACTCGCGCTCATACCCGCTTATTTTTTTGGGTAATTGTCTATACACATGCCTGTATCCATTTTTGTGGATTTTTATCCTAACAGATGTGTAAAAAGTTTATGCGTACTCATTGTGGATGGGCTCATTTTTCATCCCTACCTTCTCTAATGGCCGTTGTAATACGATGGGAGAACTGACTTGGGTGTTTTGTGTTTGATTGCAATTGTTGCGGATAGCAAGAGTCGCCACCGATTTTTCTTTTATCCAATAAGGAAAGGGTGAAAAGAACAGGAAATACCTTTGATATATTTTCTTGAGTTCGGGGGTAGGTTATGAAAAAGGAAGGTGTTAGCACCCTTTTCATCCGTAGTTATCTACGGGCTCTTAGTTGCTTACTATATCACTTTGGAAATTGCTTTGTTTGAAATATGTTTGTGGTGGATTTTGAAAGTATTTTTAAAAAGCGCCTTAATTTAGGAAAACTTTGTAATGATTCTCGTCTCTATAAGAATGCATACAAAGTGTTGGACTTTTGAAAATATTTCATGTTTTTGAAAGTGTTTGGTGTGTTTGAAAATATGTTTGTTTTGAAGATGGATTATGAGCAAGCAACTAAGAACGTTCTACCTACTCAAAAAGTCTTTAGTTATTTTCCTCCTCCTTTGACATTGCTATCTTATCATTTGATTGGTAAGAAGCCTTATCTTTGGATGTGAAGAGACGGGCGCGGGTCATCGTATAGTCATAAGATGCAATATTGTGATATATCTTAGTATTTTTCTTAAGGGACTAAGATCATTTGTAAGGCAACATTCACAGCATCGTCGAGGGACTTTGATCTTGTATTTTGTTTGTTTTTGCTAAGATGTCTCACATGCATAACATGATCATTTTCTCAAGACAACAAGTGGAGTTAACCCTAGAGGTGCAAGTGTGCAAGTGTTTATTTTTCATGTATGAGTTTATCTTGGATTAAGTTTTTCTAAGCATCAATTTTATCTTGCCATGCACACCCTAATTACTAACAATTATATGAAAACGATAAATTTGCGGAAATTAAATTCCTACGCTATTACATCAATAGGGGATGGGGGTACAATTTACAAATGAGGATGAAATAGGAGCTTGAATATTACAACCATATTGAATAGCTATGAAGAAAATATGTGAAATATGTAAAAAGCAGTGTAAAAGAGAGAGAGAAAATCAATTTTTTAACATTATGTGTCGACACATGCTTATATGCATCGGCACATAACCTTCCCTTTCCCATGTAATACCAAATCAACTCAGTATGAGTCGATGCATAATGGCATGTGTCGACTCATTCCTTGTTTGTGTCGGCACATACGCATTTTGTGTCGACTCATGTGCCTTTTTTCTTTCTGTTTTGTGCCTGTTATAGCAGTATGTGTCGACTCATGAGGCTTTTTGTCGACTCATAGCCTATTTTTCCACTAAGATGTGTCGACTCATATAGGTATGTGTCGACTCATACTGTAATTTTTCCACTTCAGCATTGTTTTATGGTTTGTACAAGGCAGTTCTTAACATATAATTGACAAGGATGGAAGACAAGCAAAAGGTTAGCTTCAAGGGCAATGGTTACTATATTTTATCTTCAAAGATGAATCATTAATGATGCTTGAAATGAAGGTTTAAATTCAAGAAGACTTACCTTGAAGCTGGAATTTATGCTTTGAGCTTGAGTTACTGCCTTGATTGTTCTTGAACTTAGGGAAAACAAAGATGTTATAGAAGCTTGTTCTTGAGTTTGAACAAACTTCTATATGATGTATGTGGAGTGTTTGGATAGTTTGTTTAGGCAGAGCTTTGCAAGCTATGAGAGGTTCAAAGGTTTGGACTTCAAAACTCAATAGTGGAAGCTTTGTGGACTGTTATGGCTTTTGTGAATATGAGATTTTGAGGATTTATCAACAAAACTTCTGGTTTTTCTCTCTATTTTTCTGACCTCTTTCTCTTGCAAATGCATCTTCTATTTATAGGCAAGAGTTTTGTGTATATGAGTTGATTAGGTTTGCAAGACAGCATGTTATGGTTTGGTTGGATTGCAAAGATCAAACTATGTCAAGTACTCCATAATCCCAAGATGAAGTACCAAAGTTGTTAGTTTAAAGGGGCTACTTTCCATTATTTATGATGGAGAAAAATCAGAAGCAAATAAAGTATGGGCTCAAGACAAATTTGTACCAAAAAGTTTGCTTTTCAAGAATAGCAATGGTAACTTTATACCATAAACGGAAAGATCTTTTGGACAAAGGCAATAACACTTGGGTAATAGCTCAAAAGTTGGTGTAAGCATTAAATTATGGTGATATTGGCAAGTTAGAAGGCCTGCAACACAATATTATGTAGCATAGCATAAGGGTTTTGTTATGTGTTCTTCAACAGAGTGACTTACAATTCAAGAATGGATGCCCAACTTCATATCCTTGAATCTCTTAGCTTAAGTATGATAAATTCATGCTCTTGGATATTTTGGAAATCTTGAAACATCCTCTATAACTTTCATGTTGGCCATTTTGACAAAATCATCTTGTAACTATGTGAAAAAATTCCAAGAAGTTAGGATAAAATCCTAACCAAAATCTGTTGAAAATTTCTCTAAGTGTTAAATGAAAATGTCATGACTTTATGAATTTATAGCTCAAAATCCAAGCATTTCTAAGACTTGATCAGCAAAGAAAAGTTATAGATCTCATTAAGATCTACAACTTTCATGTTAAAAATTTCTTTGAATCATCTTGCATCTTGGTGAAAATTTGACATGAAGTAATAAAATTATCATGTGTGAAAAACACTTAAAAAATTTCTAAGTCTTGGAAATCTTGACTTTTTACATTCACTTTTGACTTTCTTGATTTCTTGATGATCAAGCTTCATATTCTTGAATGTCTTGATGAATTTTGATCTTTGAAACTTAATATTGACCAAAAAGTCAAAGTTTGACTTTTGGTGCTATAGTTGACTTTTTCATTAGTACAACTGATTTTTGGTCATCTGGTCAATTGACCGAGCAGAATTTATGGTGCGAGACTTGAAACTTGACATGAACAAATTCGAAGGTCCATAATGATTCATGAAAGTCTTTTGAGGCATTAACAGTCTAATTATCCTTGCGCAAACTCAAACCCTAATTTGAGGCATCAATGTTGAGGAGATAGCTTGACCTGGTCAATACTTATGCAAGCTTGAACTTTTGAAGATCTTTGTGATAAATGTCTTGAGAAAAGAGAGGGAAAATTTTGGGGTACAACAACTTCCCCTGTTCAATCTTCTTAAAACTGAAGAGTTAGATTGGCGAGTCCTCCATTTGTGACTTGAAGGTGGAAGATGATTGAACACTAGAGTACCCAGAAATTTACACTCGACTATGTGTTAGTTGATTGTGTCGAGAATGGGCTTAAAGATGTCATTTGGAGAAGTGATAAAGAGTTTGTTGGATATGGGCTTATAGATGCCATCAAAAGGTGGTTGTTGATAAAAATTAGACTAAGTCTAAGCTTGACGATAACTAGGAGAAGTATCTGAATAAATCTCTGGCCAATTTAATCTGAGTCAGAAGATGTAGTGGAACGAGTATCAGAATAATATCCATAACTAGATCGTATATGACTCGTATCTGAAAGATGTGCTGAATG